TCAGAGCAAGAGCTGTCAGTTATCAGACACTCTTAAATAAACAAAATATTGCAAGAGTCCTGATGTTTTAAGCATGTTTTTTGTTTTAAGTTAAAAAAACCCTTTGTGTTTGTGTCCTTTATAAAGTTTATATCTCCACTACCCGGCATGACATTTGGATGACACACATGGCCCGGCCCAACAAGGTCTCGTTTATGTCATATCCGACCCTCATTACAAATGAGTTCGACACTCCTGTTCTAGAACATCCTGATTAGCTGGTCCCCTTTCCTGGGGGCTCCAGGCCCAGTTTTGGCAAGGAGAGGGCCAGTTCTCCCAGATTAGAGTCCGCGCACTTAACCACTACACCAAACTGGCTCTCACACACCCGTGATAGGCTATATACAAGAGTTACAATGTTATAGGTTCTCTGTAGAATCCCTACTTGCCGGTTGACGGGTTTGGTGTAGTGGTTAAGTGTGCGGACTCTAATCTGGGAGAACCGGGTTTGACTCCCCACTCCTCCACTTGCACCTGCTAATGTGACCTTGGGTCAGTCACAAGCTCTGGCACAGCTGTCCTTGAAAAAGAGCAGTTCCTGTCAGAGCTCTCTCAGCCCCGCCTACCTCACAGGGTGTCTGTTGTGGGGAGGGGAAGGGAAAGGAGTTTGTAAGCCGCTGTGAGACTCCAAGTGAAGGGCGGGATATAAACCCAATCTCCTCCTCCTCCTCCTCCTCCTCCTTCTTCTTGGATCCGAAGGCTCTATTGTCCCTGGTAGCGAAGCTTTGCTAGTTTGTCTGACCATGTGGCGCCCCGACCGCGTGTGCGTTTCCACTAGTACACAGCAGTGGGGATCAGGTCTGCAGCCAGGCAGTTGTTCTGGATCCAGCCCTAACTCTGGAGGAGACTCCTTGGCAGGCGTTGGCGGCCCTGGGCGCCTTCCAGCAGTGTTCCTCTAAGCTGAGCCAGTGTGAGCTACCTCATAGTCTTTAGCCTCCAGCGCACAGCTTTTGGTCTTCGCTCAGGAAGGATGGCTCCAGAGCAAACTAATTTGTGCAGCAGCCAAATCGCTGGCTCACAAGTTTAATGTCAGGAGCTCACAAGGTAGGATTTTTGCTCACGAGACTCCGCCGCTTAGAGCCAACATTGCCTTCCAGTAGGCTGAACCAAGTGCTCCTGTGGTGCCCCCTGCTGTGCAGTCAGTGCCGTGGCAGCCCCCTTGAATTTCTTGTGGCCCCGCATCAGGGGTGTGCGCCGCCCTGTGCTGGGGGCCGCTCTGAAGCCAGACCCTCCCCAAACCACAAGGAGCTCTGGACACACGCTAGCCTCAGGGAGACGAGCGAAAGCGAATGTGTATGATTTTTGTATTCTTTATACAGCACTGTCAGAGTACGTGGGAACAGGGCGAAACAGTGAAGTCTCTGCCCCAAGGCACTTACAAATGAATACAATGTATGTGTCTGTGGGGGAGGGGGCAGAGGTAGCAACAGGGGGAGAAAGCAGGGAAGGAGGGGGACATGTGGGGGAAGGACCACTTTCACACATCCTTAAACCTTGGCAGGAGTTGCCAATCGGGAGGAGCCAAAGACCACAGGGGGAAGGTGGGCTTTGAGGAGGAAGGGGAAAGGGGTGGGTGGCATCGCAGGGGTATTCTGGGAGGGAGGGGGCAGCACACATCCTGGAGACGCAGGAACGGATGGAAGGCCGCAGCAGAGACCTTCCAAGTGCCTGAAGGAGGTGGAGCAAGAAGGGCCGGAAAGGGGGGGGGAGGCTAGAGGGCATCTAAGGCCAAGGATGAGAGGCAGGCATGGGGCACAGACAGGTGGGGAAGCAGTGAGAGGAGGAGGAGGAGGAGGAGATTGGGTTTATACCCCATGGCCCTTCACTACCCAAAGGAGTCTCAGAGCGGCTGACAATCTCCTTTCCCATCCGCTCCCCACAACAGACACCCTGTGAGGGAGGTGGGGCTGACAAAGCTCTCTCGAGGACTGCCCTTGAGAGAACAGCTTTGAGAGAACTTGTGACTGACCCAAGGTCCCTGCGAACCAGAAGGATTAAGCTGACCAAGTATATTATAAAAGTACAAAATTTATTAGGTTGTACACATATTAAAATATATTCGGGTTAATTTTTTGTTTCAAGTATCAAACTAATAAAAGCATACTTTTATTATATACTTGGTCAGCTTAACCCTTCTGGTTCGCAGTGTTCGCAGTTTTATCTTGGGTTGAGTTCTCCCCTCCCCCCCTCCCCCCCCAGTTTTTGACCCAAGGTCCCGCCAGCAGCTGCATGTTGAGAAGTGGGGAATCAAGCCCGGTTCTCCCAGATTAGAGTCCACTACACCAAAGAGGGGGGCAGAGGTGAGGCGGGAGGCAGCTGGGTCGCAGAAGACCCCCCCCAAGGGAGCAGGGCAGGGATGTGGGCAGGCCAGACAGATGCTGAAAGGAGGCATGGGGGGTGGAGGGCATGCCCCAGAGCGAGGGGGAGCGGAGAGCGAGCGAGGAGGCGTCAGTGCCGGAGTGAGCAGGGTAGATGGCAGCAGAAGGAGAGGACGGAGGTGTGGAGGAGGTGGAATACCCCTTTGGGCCGGCAGTGGGGGGAGGTAGCATCTGGAACGGGACCCCCCCGATTGCCGCCTGGAGGGGTGGGCGCCTTCTCCCTCCTCACCACCCCGCCTCTTCGCTCCCAACCCCAGGACCAGGCTTTGTCGTGCTGGTTGGGGGGGGCAGGAAGGTTCTACCGAGGGAGGAGGCAGAACTGGTAGGGGCGGGGGATGCTCCCCAGCCCGGTCGATTCCGGGGTGATGTCGATGTCCTTGGGGTCCATCAGGGGCTTCAGCTTGAAGTTCTGCAGGATGTTGGTGAGGAAGATGAAGAGCTCCGCGATGGCCAGGCCTTCTCCCAGGCAGACCCGCTTCCCTGCAGCAGAGGGGGAAGGAGAGGGGCAGAACTGTCTCCAGGCTGTCCGTCCGGGCCACCACGAGGAGTGATTGGCCGACAGAAAGGGAAGCAGGTGCCCCAGACCTGCTCTGGCCCCTCCAGCAGTGGTCCCCCCTCCCTCCCCTCCCGTTACCTGCTGAGAATGCCATGAAGGCGTCGTTCTTCTTGAACCGCCCGTTCTCATCCAGGAAATGAGTCGGGTCAAAGGAGTTTGGATTCTTGAACTGTGTCGGGTCGAACTGGGACGTGCAGAGCAGGGGGATAACGTTCAGGTCCTGGAAGGGGGGGGCAGGGAGGTCAGGACAGGGAGCCCCCGGGGGGGGGGCCGGCCCCAAGACCCAGTCAGACCGGCCTCCCCTTTCCCTTGGCCCTTGGGGGGTCAACCAGATCCACCACCACCCCGGTCACCCTACAAAATCCACAGAGATCACGAGCACGATCCGCTTTTTAAAAAAGATAACCCTTCCCTGTCCTTAACACTTCGCAAGCACTTCGTGGCCTAGGCCGGACACTCACGGTTTTATCTCTGGCCCTTCCTTTTGTGATCAAGAACCACAAGGGTAAGAAAGAAGGCTGATATAGGGCCGGACTTGGGACTGGGTATCTGAAGAACCACCTTCTGTACGTACCTGCCCGGGGATTAAGGTTGCAGGGAAGGCCCTCCTGATGGTCCCATCAACGAAAGAAGCTCATTGGGTAGGTACACGAGGCAGGGCCTTTTCACTGGCAGTAGCCCCATGAGGACAACCTCCCCGGGGAGGTGCGCTGGGCCCCCTCGCTTTCGATATTCAGGAGGCGGCTGAAGACAGGTTTATTTAGGACCAGGGCTATTTTTGGGCAGGAACGCACAGGAACGGAGTTCCGGCTGGCTCCCGAGTTGGCCACGCCCAGCAGGCACTCATTAGCATAATAGGCCACACCCAAGAGCAGAAACTCATTAGGATTGGCTACGTTAGGGGTGTGTGGCCTAACATGCAAAGGAGTTCCTGCTACAAAAAAAGCCCTGGGTTTTGACCACGAACAAGGTCAACAGAATAAGAAGCAAAAGGTGGGTGTGGCTGGATGAGCACACTTCTGGTAACATGGGGTGTGGTCTAATATGCTAATAAGCTGTGCTGGCAGGGGTGTGACCTGATATGTTAATGAGTTTCTGCTATTGGGTGTGGCCTATTATGCTAATGAGTTCCTGCTGGGCTTTTTCTACAAAAAGAGCCCTGTTTAGGACTGCACTTGATTAATGCCTTCCTAAAGCATGATTTTAAGTTTTGATTTCATGTATTTTTAGGCACTCTTATTTTATGCCTTTTATTTACATCATAAGCCACTAATAAGTGTCTTAAATAAATTAACTGAATACTATATGTAGGCCAGTATTATTTCGCTAAGACTGAAGACGGTGGGTGGGGGGCGGTTGGTCATGAGCAGGCATTGCACGCTGGGCATTTGGGGTAGAGATGAGCTCCTTTTTATCCAGGAACAGCTCTTTTCTCCTTTCTCACCGTACAAGAACTCGTGGGCACCCTAATCCAAACCCGAACTTCCCTTGAGAGAACAGCTCTGAGAGAACTTGTGACTGACTCCGGGTCACACCAGCAGCTGCATGTGGAGGAGTGGGGAATCAAACCCGGTTCTCCCAGATTCGAGTCCGCACACTTAACCACAACACCAAACTGGCTTGGGGAATCCTACTATCTGAACACTGCTTTCTTCCCGAATATATCAATTAGCTCCGAACTTATGGCAACCTTGGGGAGGGTGTATCCACGGAATTCGATGTCCCGCGTGACGGTGTGGGGCACCCCCATGGGGACGATGTCAGCGAAGCGCTGGATCTCGTGGAGGACGGCGTCCGTGTAGGGCATCTTCTGCCTGTCCTCCATGCAGGGGCTGCGGTTCACCCCGATGACCTGGTCGATTTCCTCATGGAGTTTTTCTGCAAAAAAGACGAGAGGTCAGCGATGGCTGAAGGACGCGGGCGGGGGGGGGGCACGAACAGGCGGCAGTGATGCAAACGCAGAGGGGGAAACACAAGCTGGGTCTGCGGACAGAGCCTGCCTCACCCCACTGGGGCTGGGCGGGAGCAGAGAACTGAAAGGCGAAAGGTCTGGTGAGCCCCCAAACTGGCCGTGACCAGTGGTGTCTGATAAAAAGTGAAAATATTTCTCAAGGCGGTTGACCACAAATCTGAAATTACATAATAAGACAAGAAGAAGAAGAAGAAGAAGGAGAAGAAGGAGAAGAAGGAGAAGAAGGAGAAGAAGGAGAAGAAGGAGAAGGAGAAGAAGAAGGAGAAGAAGGAGAAGAAGGAGAAGAAGGAGAAGAAGGAGAAGAAGGAGAAGAAGGAGAAGAAGGAGAAGAAGGAGAAGAAGGAGAAGAAGGAGAAG